TGTGAAAGTTTTGGTGGGCGTTAGTGGTGGCAGGAATGTTCTTCTGTCCCCTTTCTTTGTTTTCCCACACTAACTTTGTGTCCGCATTGCTGGGGGACAGAAGATACTAGTGGACACTGATACGATATGAGAAAATATGGCTCTCTTGTAAAGTTGAGACCCTTGTTTTGGGGGCATGGTGATTTTCCATTTTTCAGGGAATCGTGGTTTTGTCTGCAGGTGAAGGGTTTGCTGTCTCACCCTTGTTTTGTCTCCTGAGACCTGTGGACAGTGGCCGCTGTGGGAACGGGTGTCTTCAGCCTGTTATACTATTTGGAGGACAGAGTCTGAGGGGGGTCTGAGAAGGAATTGTTATTTTTGCTGATTTTTTTTCTCCAGAGTCATTTTCTTCCTTCTTCACATAGGTTGAAGGGCTCTTGGGCACTACTTATGATGTTCCTGTTCTCCTGTTCTTCAGGGGGGTCTGGTTGCATTTCTGGTTTTAACTGCTTCAGTTGTTCTGACTTTACCTAGTTCTCAGTTATTGCAAAGATTTTTGCTGCCAGGTCCTTGAAGGAACATTCATGGGTGTAAAATTAGCAAGAGGCTCATGTAGCTTTTAAACAGATTTGCATAGATTGCAAAGGGACAGAGAAACAATTGACAAATTTTCCAAAGGAAATGTTTTAAGAAAAGGGTAAGTGAGAGGTCTTTCCCCTGTTTTTCAACAGGGATAATTTAATTTTTCTTATTTTATTTGCCCTTACAACATACTACCATGAGATATCAGGTCACCTTGGACTGGTGTAGACTCTACCCTAGAAGACAGGGTGCGCAGTCAGTGTGCTGATCTCCAGGATATAGGATATAGTTAAACAGGAACCAAGCACCTGCGCTTCTCCTCCAGGGCTCAGAGTTGATGTGTTGTATACTGAAAAATTTGCTAATAGGGTAAATCTTAGTCTATCTTCTGTCATGTTCTTCTTACAAAAAATACCACTACTATTAATTAATGAGGGTGGAATGAAACTTCAGAGAGGATGGATGTGTTTGAGGCATAGATTATGATGTCGGTTCACGGATTTATACTTAGCTCCAAACTCATTAAGTTGTATGTATTAAATATGTACAGCTTTTTGTATGCCAATCATACCTTCATGCTTCAGTAAAGTGGTTAAAAATAATAATAAAAAAGACCTCCTCATGATTACAGATGAATGCTCCCCCTCAAATGTTTTTAAATTTTAGAACTGAAGGGGAAGAATACTTCTACATGGGGAAATGGTAATGCCATTTACTGCTCCTGTATTATTGTTTTGCCTTGATTTTTCTATGTATGTGTAGCATTTGCATTGGCAGTGTATAAGGTTAA